CCTTGGAATGCCCATGAAGGGGTTGCTGTGCCGCAGACAACATGTCGTAATACGCCTTTGCGGTAGCCTCTGGCTCCTCCCTACGTCCTTCATCGAAGTGTGCTTCATGATAGTCATTTAACATGTCTCCTACCCCGGCATGCCCATCATATTCCTCGATGCGTTGTCTCACGACCTCGTCTCTCCCATGATCTGCTTCACCATGGTAGATCCACCTGGTATAGTCTACCGTAAATCCATTCTTGCAAAGATGTTTACCCATGACCATCTTGGTTTGCCGACGCGTGTTTACACATTTGCTGCAGGGACACCAAGTGATACTAGCTCCTTTAACCCTTGCAAATGCCCGTTCCAAGAAAGCATCGGTCTTGTCAATCCATTCAGCGGTCAACGAAGTCTGACTAGAGCGGCCCGTGTACATCCACTCACGGTCATCCATCCTCTAGCATATCAGCGAGTAATATAAAAAATCACATTGCATCTACACGTTTCTATACTATCTAATAGGTGAAGATAGGTCCTAATCCCACCCGAGAATGTATAGATGGGGTTAGTTTCCATCTCTACTCCTATCCGAGACAGAATTTTGGCAGCACCTCCCCGTTGTTCTCCAAATACACGTCCTAGAAGGGAGATTGTGTATCCGGAGAACAACAGGGAGATGCTGCCGAAACTCTTTCATGGATCGGAGTAGAGCATGGAAACTAACCGCATCTACACATCCTCGGGCTGTCCAAAAAACGTGGACAATTCGAAACAGATACGGTTATAGATATGCAAATATCTGCATATTTCCAACCGTATCTCTTTCGAACGGGAGACGTCTAGCTAGGTTACGTGATATACGAACATGATGCGGAAAGAAGGGTCTTTTATGCCTCACCTTGCTGTCCTGCAAAGTGACGAGTCGAGGACGTTGCAATAGCCTCTCCTGCAGTAAAAGAAACATAATAGTGTCAAATCTAAATTTCGGCAGCACCTCCCCTGCACGGGGAGGTTTCCAAAACCTGCAACAAATAAAACGACACGATGGCCGACAACCACATACACTCGGCAACAAACGGCACGATGGCTGACAACCACATACACATCTTGTACCTTGCAAAACGACGGCAAGTTGTGAGGGGGCAAGAGGGCAAGGCGGAACTAGGAGGCAGGGCGGGGTAGGGAGCGGCGGCAAAAACCTGCAAGTTGAAGATAATAGAGAGCCAAATGCATCAGGTCAGTAAGTGTATAGCGAGATCATTAAAAGAATGGCAATCATTAAAAGAATGTTGGATAAAAAATATCACGGCAATCTGGTAAACAGTAAACGAACTGATCCTGAAACCACCTGTGCATAAACTCCCTATACTACTCTTCCATTGTTTCATAAGAAACTTTCAGCTTCTGTAACTGATACTCCCTCTAGTCAGTAGAACCTGGTGTTTCAGAGAGCATATACCCCCCCCCGTCCATGAATGTTAGGAGTACTTTGACCAGAGAGAAGTCAATATTATCTCAGATGCACTTTTGAATACAAATCTACTTATGCAAGTTTTATGCCCTAAACTTGCATATAATTTGACTAATTGTTGGTCAAAATTTGTAAAATCCGACTTTTCTCCTTTAAAAAAACTCTTATCAATCCTGGACAGAGGTACACTAGTTGCACTTCACTTTTGTTGTCGGAAATGACAGCTCCAGACCGGAGGGAGTAATTTCCAGGCTTGGTTCAATAACACATTGGCCAAGGTAAAAGCAGAACTAATTAATAGTTCATTTTAAAAATATATGACGTTTAGGACAGGCTAATTAATTTGAACTCAATAGGTTGTCCCCAACGTCATATATTTATAGACGGAGGGACACTTGTGCTAAGAAATTAAACAAAAAGAAAACAAGAATGGCAATCGTTTGCTGTTGTAAGATTCTACAACCTGAATGGAATGCATGATGACTGTACTCACAGAGTATAATATTGTTGATACAGGACAGGAACTAGAATATACAGTTGCAGACTAGCTAGCAGTCTTCCAGATATGCATCATTTCGACTTGACCTTGCCATCAGTTAAAAAGAAGCACAACACGCTTTATTGCCGGATTAACTTAAGAATCAAGCTACAACACTAAGCATACACCAACGTAAAAAGAAAAGAAACAAGGACTATTGGGGAATGACCACCTAAATTTCATCTGAAAAGAAAATTAGTAGATTGATGGGTAAAATTCTGCAACAAACTCAAAATCACATATAGGAAGATCTATTTGCAGGCAATTGGAAAAACCTACTACATTCGTAGATTGATGTTTAAATTCAGAATAAAGCAAACAAATATGATTAGAACATATTCGAATCTAAGCATTCCACTACAGAACATTCAGAGCAAAGCAAACAGACTGCAGGCGCAGATCCAGTAAAGAACATGGGTGTGCACATGTATGCATGATAATCTTTGGAAGGAATCGAAGTTAGCAGGCATAATACATGTGCGCACAGCAGGAAGGGAAGAGAAGGGGTTGGCACACCTGGTTGTTCTCCTCACCAGAGAAGTGCGGCGACGTGGCGGGAACGGCGTCGGTGCGTCGCGGTGGCGGTGGCCTGGCGAGGTCGTCCGACGGCTTCGCAATCGCGGGCGGGGCGGGGCGCCGGGGGCGGGACGCGCCGGGGGCGGGCGGCGCCGGTGGCGGGGCGGGGCACCGAGGGCGGGATGCGCCGGGGGCGGGCGGCGCCGTGGGCGGGGCGGGGCACCGAGGGCGGGCGGCGCTGGGGGCGGGAAGCGCCGGGGCGGGCGGCGCCGGGGGCGGGGCAGCGATGCCGCGCCGGTGGCGGGGCGCAGTGGGGCGGGCAGGCGGCGGGGCGCGGTGGGGCTGGGGTTGGCGGCGTGCGGTTGTGTGCGGTGCGCGAGGGTGAGGGTCGGGGGCGCTAACCGGTGTGGTTTTTTTGAAGGAGTATGCCGAGTGCCAAGATCTGGGGCACTCGACATTATTTTTTAAAATGTTTCATTATGGATCGATACTGTGCAGTGGGCCCGGTCGACGGATTTGCCGAGTGTCCCCTATATGACACTCGGCAACTGTACTTTTCGCCGAGTGTCAGGTACAAAACACTCGGCAAAATAAATCAATATTTCATGCTCCACCATCCTCCTTCGTCGTAGCGTGTTCTACTAAATTTGTTACGATGTAATTTAAAAATACCTTGTCAAATTCACTCAACAATGCATATTTGATTTTTCTACGAATATTAATCCATTATTTCATGTAGTTATAGGTCAAATTTAATATATATCAATTAAAATTCTATAATTGTTGTTAATAAATTAAAATTATCAAACGGATTTCAAAAATTATCAAAATTTGACGTGAACCAATCTATGTTGACTATTACCTATACAAAAAGTTTTGAAGTTAAATCCCGATTCGATCGTCAATTTGACTCCAAATCTTATCGAATCCTTCTAAACGCTACGATTCTTGTACGGAGATGCTTCTCTTTGTAAAGGTCATACGTGACAAATTATGCGAAACCTTCTTAATTTTTTTTCACAATCTCCACATATGATATCAGGAGATCTTGAAAAATCTCGTCATTTTCAGACTTCGTTTGCTTTTTTTCAATTTAAAAACCATTCGGTCACACGTTCGTGGACGTGTTTCCTGAATAAAATATTCGAAAATTCTTTTCATTTCCCGAGTAAGGCCCCAAAATGGACTCAATAACATGAATATGATTTCTCCACTCAATTTATTCCATTATTTGTATCACTTGCAGTTCAAATTTGACTTAAACCAAAAAATTCCTCTAAATGCAATAAATTACTTAAATATAGCAAACAGATGGAGAAATATATCAAATTTTAACATGTAGTACCACATGTTGTATGTGGACAGTAGAAAAAGTTTTGAGGCAGGAGAGAGAAAAAATATTATTATTTTGCCGAGTGCCACTAAAAAACACTCGCAACAACATTACTTTGCCGAGTGTAAACAAAAAACACTCGGCAAAATTATTAACTTGCTGAGTGTCAAGAAAAAACACACGGCATACCTTGTCTTTGCCGAGTGTCTCTAACGGACACTCGGCAAAGTTCTAACGGCAGGGCGGCACACCCAACGGCCGTCAGATGGCCGCCGCACGCCCAGCGCACGTGACTCCATTTTGCCGAGTGTCCGTGGTTGCCGAGAGTTTTTTTTTGTATTTTACCGAGTGTTTTATATTAGGCACTCGGCAAAGTTTGTTTTTGCCGAGTGCTATGTGTTTGCCGAGTGTTTCATTAAATACACTCGATAAAGTGGATGTTTGCCGAGTGCTGATGGAATGCACTCGACAAACTCTCAGGCACTCGGCAATTCTACTATTTCCGGTAGTGAAGGTTTAGTTATTAGGTAAAGCGTAGTTAGTTCAAGTTGAACCTCATCTTATTTTTGGTTAAAAAAATCTAATTGGTTTTAATCTTTTAAAACATGAACTTGGTCACAACGTGCTATGCAAAGTTTTGATTCAGAAACCTTAAATTACGATTTTGGAACAGGGAAAGAGAAAAAGTTACACGGTTTTGATCTAATTGCTCTAGCACAAATTTTTTTTTAAAGTACATAAAAACACAGATGGTTACAAATAGCATGTTCACTTGCTCGTAAACGATCGTAAATTTCCAGCCGGGAACGGTGTTTTTCTCTCACACCAAACCAGCCAGCAGTAAATAATCCACGATACGATACGGCCTCCCGAACAGGCTGAAAAACTATAACGGCTTGAACATCGACTAGGCTCCCCACTACAAGCAAAACATTTGGAAACTCCATGCTCAGCTCAATGTATCAATATCCCTGTTAATTAACGAGTCATTCTTTGCACCAAAGCAAGCAAACCAATGTACACCTACACTCTCGTCCTAGAACTTCCACGGAATGTACAGTACATGAAACAGTAATGGTCAGGCCGGCAGTCGCCAAGCTCTTTTTTCACATATCAAATCAGAAACTCCACGCGCGTGCAGCTCTGATCTCACAAGCCTACAGCTTCACTGGCAGTCCATAGTTGTGGAAGCATCGCATGACCCCGTCGCGGCCACCAGTGACGACGACCTTGTTCCAGGCTGCCGACACCTTGGTGCTGCACTCGTCCATCCCGGCGCAGTTGACGTACTTGAGGGACGGCAGCAGCTTCTCCTCGGGCCACGTCGCGGCGCCCCTCGCGCCATCTGCCGAGAACCACGTCCCGAACGAGCAGAACTCGCGGTCGCGGCAAAGCGTGGGGGTGGCCCCCTTCTCCGACGACTGGAGATCGTCTTGCTGCTGCAGCAGCCCTGGCCATGTCGCCACGGACGTGACGCCCTCCGAGAAGAAGTGCTCGCAGGAACGAACTCTTCTTGCTCCTCTGGTGGTGGTGCTTTTGCCAGCTGCTGGTCTGTCGAAGTTCCAGATGTAGACGTTGGAGTCGGCACCTGCCGACACGAGGTACTGGCCGTCGGAGGTCAGAGACGGCGGTAGCAGGACCTTGGAGCCTCGCCGTCCTGCAACGGGGACCAAATAACAATGTGTAAATTCGTACGGGCTGTGGTGTGCCAAGCCTAGGACTAGTACTAACAGGCAACAGCCGTCTCGACTGTTTTAACCAAGAGAATCTGGCACTGGCAGGAAATCTAACCTTCAAACTTTCGGTTGATCTTAGCTCCTCCATCAGAGACTCGAATTTTAGAACCTGCTGATGCGATCATGATCCCAGCAGGATCACCGTTTGAAAACTGCGAGGCAGAATCGATTGAGCAAATGTTTCTTATGAGGAGGAGAAAAACACATTGACTGAACCAGAACAGCTAACCTGCAGGCTGGTGATCTGTCTACCAGCAGATTTCTTCTTCGTTACCTTCATTACTTTCTCCAGTTCCACGTTTTCACCTACATTCAATTCAATTTTCCTGGTTAGGAGCTATAGACTGCAATACCACGATAATCGTTTCAATGAACAAACTCATAGTAAACATCAGAAATGGATGTTGCACCTGCATGGTTATAGAACCGGCACCTCCCTGAAGCGATTCCGACAATAAGACCCTGAGGAGGGAAGAAATGCCTGGGTTAGCACCCTACTAGTGGGAAATGGTAGTAAAACTTCAGTAGCATTTTGATCAGGTTTCAACCTTTCCATCTGGCTGGTAACTCACAGCAGTTATGATATCCTTCGTATCAGCCCAGTCAACTACTCGCCTCTCTGAAACATCCCAAACACGGACTTTACCGTCTATTGAGCCGCTAACGAAATATCTTTCGTCAACCGGATTGGATTGAATGCATGTTACTGTTGGCAAATTCATCATAGAGAAGAAAAATATCAGTTTCAAATCATGACTTTATTTAGACTAGAGCCATTGAAAATATATATGTATATATATACTTCTGTACCATACCAAACCTGGAACAGAGCTAAAAAAAAAGGGCAGACCCAGTGCCGGAGGCTCCCACATGAGTGGGGTCTGGGGAAAGGAAAAACCGAGGCATACATGCAAAAAAAAAAGAAACTTTTGGCTATACAAATACAGAGACTTTACTGTAGATGTCAAAGGCTGCATGGTATTTGTTTTTAATCTTTGTGCATACCATAATCTCTGTGCTTGAATACTGCTAGACAGTCATCACAGCCAACTTTCCACATGCGTACAGTCTTGTCTTTAGATGACGTCAAGAGTAACTGCAGGAAATGTTAAATAGTCAGTTTTCACAGAAAATTCGATACATACAGAGACAAGAACTCAGTTATATGATTTGACTGATATGAATGTAAAGCTGTTAACAGAACTTCACATGCATGTATTACTTTCACTTAATTCTCACATGTGACATGAGTGATCAAAGCATACTGGATAAAGAAAAGCTTACATTTGATTTTGACCATGTCATATCCAAGATATCACTTGTGTGACCATGAAACTCATGCAGTGGTGTCTCTGCAATGTTGAAAACTTTCTTGGGTACTATGGCAAGGGCACGTCTCTGAACTTTTCCCACCTTCATTTTCAGGCCCTTATTTCTGTCCATGGATTTGACAGGCGCCTCTCTGATGTACAAATCAGGAGAGGATTCAACTTCTTGTATCATCCAAATGCGCACAATGCAATCTTCGCCAACACTAGCTAAGTACCACCCGTGTGTACTGAACTTCATGACCCTGATTGAACCCCCGTGGGCATGGATTTCTTGGCACATGTAGAGAGCAGAGAAGTCCATCCACTTTTTGTTCTGCTGATCAACTTTTGTTGTAAACAATGTTCCTGTCTTCAGGCTTTTCATACATTTGTCATGCATACAAATTATATCTTCTCCCTTCTTTCTTGTGAACCTTCCACAAAAGCTCTTGGTATCCTTTTGCTTCTCACTAAATGCTACATTCATTCCCCTTGCAGGACCACGACCACTGCCCTTCTGCAAGAACTCATGAACAAGCTGAGAGAAACTAAGAAAACCTTCTGACTGATTTATATTCATGATTCTGTCTGTTCCAACCTCATCAAGTATTCCGGTCAGTTCATGGTGCTCGCTTTCATGAAGCACAACACTGTTCCTAGTACTATCTGGTGCTGATGCACAATGAGAAAAAGACGGCCGATATGAAGAACAGATGCTATTAATTCTCTCCTCCAGGTCACGAAATGCACGATCAGCCAAAATTTCTCCCTGCCACTGCGAAAAGGTGATTCCTGTAGGAATAGGTTTAACAAAGCCCATCCCAATCAGGAATCTGTGCCGCCTTTCATTGACACTCATCAATTCACTTGTCCAGAGCTCATCCTCAGGTCCCCATGATGCTGATAATTGGTCACTTGTGCTGCATCTAGCTGAAAAATATGTTGAACTTCTTATATCATCAGATGTCTCCAAGAATATGTCATCCTGTCCATCGCAATTGGACATTTTCCTCAAGCTGCTATGTACTAAGAAAACCTATCACCATGTAGGATGACACCTCCACATAGCCACAGTATAAATCGATGGTGATAAAACTGCCAAAAAAAACATGAGAAAATGTAGAGTGTCAGGTCCACATCATGCGGCTATAGAAGAAATCATGATTTACAAAGCTTAGCAATAAGGACGGCAGATACGGTATCATAGAAAGGACTAGGTATTTCAAGAATTAGAACAAATTCCACAGCACCGAATTGATCAATAAAGGAAAATGAACACAATTACACATCAGACGAGATGACTACATAAACAGGCTATAGGACATCACAACACAGATGCAACGAGTAGATCAACATAGTGAGAACAGATGGTACTAAAACTTGCCACACACATGTACAGATTTATACCCTACTGCTCAGTCAAACCAAAGCGCAAGTGTGGCAAAACCACAAAATCCTGAGTTTCAAAAAACAGAAAACACAAAATCCTGGAGGAACATAGCAGGTTGCCATTTCCTACAAGAAGGCACTTTTTACTCGAAATACGCAGAAAAATATGCATCATTATATTAGAGACAGGAAATAGTTTTACAATCAGCGAATCCTACATCATCGTGGAGAACTGCTGCTCTTCCCAAACACTAAACAAGTTGCACTTACAACGGCCATATTTGGATGCAAAGTATTATTAGAGTATATATTGGATAAATATTGTGCTGTTGCAAATTAGTTTGGTTTTTGAATGTTGCCATTTGTTTGGATGCAACAGACCTTTAACTTTCCAAACCACTGTATTGCTACAGCCTTTTAACTCCATTCGAAACTTGTTTTTTTCTAAACCACAGTTGTACATGCCTTAGGTTTACAAAACAATAGTTGCTTGATATAGTAGTTTTCTAAAACAAAAGTATCGAAATAATCAGTTCCTTAGAGGATGCTACAAGCCTCCAAACATCGTGATTTGGCTACTCGCGTGAGTAACCATTCCTTCCAAAAACAAGTACTTATATCTTTTATTTTTTTCCCCAAAGTATGAAAACTTGAAGAACCCACAAGATCCCACCCGACAAGTTAATTAACGAGGACCAATAGGAGCTGGTCCGCCATAAATTAAACCAATCCAGAGCTGACCAAGATGTTTAATGAGAGATGTGATGGATTTTCCCCTTATATTGTTTAATTTATGATAAACAATTTAGAAGTCCATATATTTCAGACAAATGGAATATTAAACAACACAAATGAGCGAAAACACCACTAGATTGCTTGGCCAGTACCGCAGCTATGCCCGCGCCAACCAGTGTTGGAACCTCTCATTGTTAGAATAAACTACTGCTTCCTTGTGTGAACACACAGCAAGAGGAAGGCGGCGCCAAAAAAGCCTCCTGCTGTGGTACTGTAGCCTCCTGCTGTTGACAAGGGCACCGATAATGAGGAAGATGATATGTCAGCGTTGGAGGCTATCCTCGCTGCTGTACCGACGGAGTACAGGGAGCCGTTGGGGGAGAAGAGCTCGGCTAAGGAGGCGTGGGAGGCTATTGCTGTGATGCGCGTCGGTTCCGACCGCGCAAAGAAGGCGACGGCCCAACTTCTGAAGCAGGAGTACGCCAACCTCAAGTTCAAGGATGGTGAAACAGTGGAGGACTTCTCCCTCCGCCTGCAGACGCTCATCAGCAAGCTGAAGAGCCATGGCATCACTATCAACGAAGAGGAGACGGTCTCCAAGTACCTCCACTCCGTGCCAGCAAAGTACATCCAGTCTCTCCATAGAGACGATGCTGGAATTGTCCACCCTCACCATTGAGGATGTGACAGGCCGTCTGCGGGCGGTGGACGAATGCCTGGAGCAGGTGACAGCAACGAAGGACAGCGGCAAACTACTGCTGACAGAGGAGGAGTGGGCTGCTCGGAGGAACTCCGGGAAGGCAGCCTCCTCCAGCCGCGGTGGCGATGGCAAGCGCCGTGGCAAGGCTTCTTCGAAGAAGAAGAAGCAGGTCGACCCCAACGCCTATCAGCGTTGTGGGAAGATGGGCTATTGGGCACGGGAGTGCCCAAATCGCAAGCAGGACAAGAAGGCTGAAGCTCATCTGGCGCAAGCTGATGATGAGGATGAGGCCACTATCCTGATGGCGACGTTCTGTGCACTGCACGACGTCGAGGCCGAGGAGAGGGAAGAGGCGACGACGGTGGAAGGACCTAGGAAGGCCCTGAAGACTGTCAACCTCGACGAACCACGTGCCCAAGTCCACCTCGGACGTGTGGGCGCCGACCAGGAGCAGCGGTGGTATCTGTGACTCTGGTGCCAGCAACCACATGACGGGCTCTAAGGCATCCTTCTCTGAGCTCGATGTTACCGGTACGGTGAAATTTAGTGATGGCTCAAGGGTGCCTATCTAAGGGCACGGCACCATCATCTTCAGGTGCCCGAACGGGGATCACCGCGCGCTAACGGATGTATATTACATCCCGCAGCTGCGTTCCAGTATCATTAGCATTGGCCAGCTGGATGAGCGCGGTAGCAAGGTACTGATCAGGGACGGAGTCCTTAGGATCAAGGATCGGGAGCAGCGACTTCTCGCCAAAGTGAAGAGGTCCCTGAACCGGTTGTACCTGCTCGACCTGAAGGTAGAGCAGCCGGTGTGCCTGGCGGCAAGACACACCGAGGAACCGTGGATGTGGCATGCTCGGTTCGAACATCTCAGCTTCGACGCGCTTGGTCGGCTGGAGAAGATGGTCCAAGGGCTATCCCACATCAAGCACGGAGGCGAGCTGTGTGACAGCTGCCTGGCTAGGAAGCAGAGGAGGCTACCATTCCCAAAGACGGCCAAGTATTGCGCGAAAGACGCTCTCAAGCTCATCCATGGCAACCTCTACGGGCCTATCACGCCAGCTACAAACGGTGGTCGGCGGTACTTCCTCCTACTCGTGGATGATTGCAGTCGCTACATGTGGCTGCAACTCCTGATGAGCAAGGACGAAGCGGTGGCGGCGATCAAGAAGTTCAAGATGCGCGCGGAGGTCGAGAGCGGCAAGAAGCTCCGCGTGCTGAGGACTGATCGCGGTGACGAATTCACTTCGGTGGAGTTCGCTGCGTACTGCGCGGATCACGGTGTGGTACGACACCATACCACGCCGTACTCGCCACAAAAGAATGGCGTGGTGGAGCGACGGAACCAGACGGTGGTCGGCATGGCCCGATCCATGATGAAGGCCAAAGGCATACCGGCAAGGTTCTGACGGGCAAGACGCCGTTCGAATCTTGGTATGGGCGCACACCGAACGTGTTCTTCCTCTGGACATTCGGCTACATCGGCCACGTCAGGAAGACGAAGCTGAACTTCACCAAGCTGGAGGATAGGAGCACACCGATGGTGTTCCTAGGCTACGCGGAGGGTACCAAGGCGTACCGGCTCTACGACCCACGCGGAGACAAGGTGCTTGTCTCGCGCGACGCCGTGTTCGACGAGAAGGCGGCTTGGGACTATACCAGTCCGAGCACTGGGGAAGCTGGCGGCTTCACCAACACCTTTGTCGTCGAGCACCTGTTCATCCACGGTGGTGGAGACGCTAGGGAAGAGGCGTCGAGCACTCCAGCAGCAGAGCCGAGCACTCCTAGAGCAGTGTCGAGCACTTCGGAAGGGGTGCCGAGCACTCCTGGAGGGATGCCGAGCACACCAGGAGTGGCACCGAGAGGTCCTGCAGTGGTGGCGACCACTCCAGGACGGGTGCCAAGCACTCCCGTGGCGGAGCGAAGAGGTCTTCCAGTGGTGCCACCCACTTCAAGACTGAGGCTAGGCACTCCTACAGTGGTGCCGAGCACTATAGGAGTAGTGATGAGCTATCCAGAAGTAGTGCCGAGCACTCCAGGTACTGTGCCGAGCACTGCGGCGGAACAGGAAACTCCATCGACACCGATCGAGTTCGCCTCACCTCTAAGTGACATCACTGAGTTCGTGGATGCCTTCCACGAAGGTGAGGAGGTGCGGTTCCACAGGCTGGACGACATCGTCGGCGGCATAGGACCCTCAGGACTAGCTGGTCGGCTGCTCAATGACACAGAGCTGCTGTTCGTCAGTGCAGAGGAACCACCCACGTTCGCGCTGGCCGAGCGGGACGAAAACTGGCGACGAGCGATGCTGGAGGAGATGAAGGCGATCGAGAAAAACGAGACATGGCAGCTCGTCGATCCACCTCCAGGATGACATCCGATCAGCCAGAAGTGGGTGTACAAGGTCAAGCGGGACGAGCTCGGCGCCATTGTCAAGCACAAGGCGCGCCTCGTCGCCCGAGGCTTTGTTCAGCGTGAGGGCATAGACTTCGAGGTCTTTGCGCCAGTAGCGTGCATGGAGTCGGTCCGTTTGCTACTAGCCTTAGCAGCAGCAAAGGACTGGCATGTCCATCACTTGGAAGTTAAATCGGCCTTCCTCAATGGCGAGCTGACGGAGACGGTCTTCGTCAGGCAACCTCTAGGTTTCGCCATCAAGGGAGAGGAGCACAGGGTGCTCCGACTACGCAAGGCGCTCTACGAGCTGCGGCAGGCCCCACGAGCATGGAACGCCAAGCTTGACGCCATGCTGGGCGAGCTTGGGTTTCAACGGTGCGCAACCGAGCAAGCGCTCTACACCGCGGCAACAGGGGAAGGAGGAGCTCGTCGTCGACGTGTATGTGGACGACTTGATCGTCACCGGCGCACGCACGGATGACATCAACAGCTTCAAGCGTGAGATGGCGGCTCGTTTTCGAATGAGCGATCTCGGTGCACTCTCCTACTACCTCGGCATCGAGGTGAGACAGGGGAAGGAGGAACTCACGCTCGATCAGAGCGCGTATGCCTCCAAGCTGTTGGAGCGGAGCGGCATGACTGAGTGCAAGCCATGCGTGACTCCGATGGAGGAGCGGCTGAAGCTGACGAAGGCCAGCACCGCGGCGAAGGTGTATGCAACACTCTACCGGAGCATCATCGGCGGTCTGCGCTACCTAGTCCACACGAGGCCGGACATTGCGTTC